ATGCAAGCAGGCAGGGCGAAGAGGGCGGGGCTTTGGGCAAGGTGTGGCTGGCGGGTCAGACGGACTCAAGGTCAGTCGGTCAGTGTCCCAATCCCTCCCCCCCCCCTCCCACGGCTTCTCATACCCCTCCCCCCAGCTGTGCTCGCTCACCCCATGTTCTCTCGGCTGCATGCCCACCATCTCGGACACTTGTACTGTGCAGTACATTTTATCTTCATTCTCCTATTACTTCTCCCATCACTTCCCTTCATTTCTGTCCTTATATGTTCTTACTGTTATTCATATCACTTCTTATACTTCGCCCTCCTGCTTTTCTATGTTTTCTTCCGTACCTTACCCCCATTCATCTCCAGTTCTTTCTACCTCCCATCTCTTCTAGTCTTCCTCCTATCCCTTCATTTTCGTCTTTCCTCGAACTCCTCTATTTTTCTCTTATTTCCTTCTGTTTTCTTTCATTAAAAAAAAAATCTCCTCCGCTTTCGTCCTTTTCGCCTCCTTTCCCTTTCCTCCTTTCTTCCTCCAACATGACAAGTACACCAAAACACCTCAGAAGACAAAGAGAAGGAAGAGCAGATCCCGCCGACCATAAGATCACGGGCGTGAAGACTTCAAGGTCAAACTGGCTGTCACTGTCCTATATGCTGTGTGTCATGATACACACACATACACCCGCTCTTATTCTTTCTCTCTGTTTTATTCTTTTTCTATCATTTAGTCTCTCTCTCTCTCTCTCTCTCTCTCTCTCTCTCTCTCTCTCTCTCTCTCTCCTCTCTCTTCTCTCTCTCTCTCTCTCTGTCTTCTGTCTTTGTCTCCCTCTTCGGCTCTCTCCCTCTCCCTCCCTCCATTTTCCCATCGTCTCTACCTTCCTCTCCCTCTACATCCCCCTTCACCCCTCTCCCTGCCATTCTCCTTCTCAAGCAAAGAGACAGGCAAACAGGGGCCATTGTACTCGTGTGTGGTAAATGTAACTTTGCTGTTGGTGATCCGTCTTCATAATTTGTATTCACTCGTATTGTTTTTTTCTTCTTTCATTGTGACAGCACCTTTTGATGTCACCACAACAGGTCTTTCTTTTCTCTGTCGCTGTCCTATTCTTCTTATTCTTCTCTTCTTTTCTTTTTGTAAGATCGGTCGTTGCTCGATGTGACGAGTTTGTATCGTGTGTGTGTTTTACAAGCATCAGAGTTTTTAAGATAATGTACTACTTTTTCTATATTGTTTGATCTTATATCTTAGATTGCGTGAGATTATTGCCGACGCTGTGCCTATTCCATATCCATTAAATGTGAATCGTACTTTAGATCTGTTACAATATGATTTGTTACAGATGGTACACATGTATTGCTTTAATTAATGCTTTATATAGTCATTGTCACGTTTCCACCACATTTATCACCATCATCACCATCGTCACTTTCTAAAAAAACATCGCTGGAATGCCGATGTTAGAGCATTCGATCCGTTTGAATTATCTACTGTTGCTGTGATAAGTTCAACCGAGTGCTCTTTCGTTGCCGAGCTTGAGCAGGCAAACGTTGCGAGGAGGCCAAGCTGGTCGGTATGCAAGCTTGGGGTTTGGGAGGGGGCGGGAGGCTGGTGAGGGCAGGGAGAGTGGGGAGGATCCAACAGCCCCCCCCCTTCCCCTCTCTGGCCCTCCCCTTGCTCGCCAGATTATATGTTTGTTGACGTTGTGATGACACGCCCGGGCCACTCTGGGTCACTCTTACCTCCTCGTTCGGGTCCTCATTGTTAAGGCTTCATGATTGCTGGGTTGGGGGAGGTGGGGAGGGATGGGGAACGGTAGGAAGGTATTCCGCTTTCTTAAGGGACAGTCTTTTGCACTATTTATTTCCTTTTCCTTTTCTATCTCCACTTGTTTTTTTTTCATTTTCTTATCATCATTGCCTTTTTACCTTTGCCATTCACTGGCTTCAAAGCCGCGTAAGTACAGATGGGTTTGCTCACTCGTTGCCTTATTCTTGCCATTCACCTTGCCCTTCCTCCCTGCCGACGCACCCTGCACCTCCTCATTGGCTTCCCACCCTGTCATCTCCATTACGTGCGTTATCACTGCTTCTGCATTAGCACCCGCGGATGAGGTTCCTGTTCTTTCTCTGTCGTCACCTGTGCGAGGCAGACGTAAACATTGCCAGCAAGGCGTAAACAGGATTTAAAAGAAAAAAAGTAAAGCTGAAAGTATTAAACAATTATAGTTTCTGGAAAAGCTGCTGACCCGAGGCATTGCATCCACCCTCCTTCCCCTCCCTGTTGCTCCGGGCATCAGGCTCCTTTGCATGCTCCATCGTCAAAGAAAGGCCTGGGAAGACGAAGCTTTTTCAACGGCTATATTTGTTTAATGCTCAATTGTGCAATCTGTTTACGTGTTGTTGCTAATGTTTGTGTTTGTTTACAGGCAAGTGGCGACGGCCGTGGGGCAGGTGTCTCATTCACAGGTCAAGCAACGAAGGGCGGCGCGAGAGACGGAAAGGGAAAGTCTCCGCGGGACCAGCACAAGCGGAAGCGCAGGGTGGAGGACCCTTCGCCCTCGCCCTCCCCCTCCCCCCCTCCGAAGCACCAGCGCCAGAACTTCCCAGGGACTTCGGAGACGACAAAGACCGCGAGGAAGCCGAAGCCCAACCAGCGGAAGAGGTCCTTAAGCAGCGAGGGAGGGTCCGAGACCGCGAGCTCCTCCGGCAGCCAGACTGACGGCGAGAGTTTGGGCAAGCAGGAGCGCCCGGCGAAGCAGAAGAAAGCGACGGGGCAGCAAGAAGTGGCCACTCAAGAGATAAGCAGCCAAACAAAAAGGGTTAAGCAAGAGAAAACGGCCAGCGAGGCGGAGGAGCAGAACAACGAGGCTGAGGAAGCGCAAAGCAAGCAATACGTGGCCAAAAGACTTAAAAGGCTTAAGCGATTTCTGCAGCTGAATAAGCACAAGCATTTCTCAAAGCTGCAGAGGTTGGTCAGACTGAAGAGCTTGGTCAAGCAGAAAGGCCGCGCTAAGCAGAATTTGAGCGCAAAGGGGCGAAACAAGAAGAGAGAACAAGTGAAGGGAAAGATCTTGTTCAGACAGGATGAAGTGAAGCAAGAAAGCCTAGGTAAGCAGAGGGCCTCGGCCAACAAGGATAAGGGCGTAGCGAAAGGCTGCGGTAAGGAGAAGAGCGACGCCAAACAGGAAACCGAGGTCAAGCAGAACATGGCCAAGCAGGAGATAAGCACGCCGAAGAGAGCAGCCAGCGGTATTCTGCGTTCATGCAAGCAAGGGCGCGTGATGAAACGGAAATCGAAAAAGAGCAAGAAGCCCAGCATCAAAAGTAAACAAAAGATTAGAGACGAGTATTCCGCATTCGGCAACCTCATAGCAAATCAGCTGCGCAGCATGGACAGCAAAAGTACCCTTTACATCGTGCAACACAGAATTTGTCAAGTCATGATTGAAGCACAGATGTGGCACTACAAGCCAGAAATTGCGCGTACGGTCTTCCCCAGTCCTCAGGGACCCTCGGCGCCTCCCTCTGCTCCGCCTCCTTCCACGGGTTTAGGCACGTCGACTTCGGTTACCGCCCACGGCCAGGAAACACCCGTGCTGCACTACGTACCCACCGCACCAACCCAGCCGTGCGGTGCTTGTTCAAAACAGAGTACTTCCACAACGCGTGTGTCGGGAAGCTCAGCCACGCCCCCATCGTCTAACTCAGCCTCAGTCCTGGTCGCTGTCCCCAACCCAACGGTGTCAAACCTAGTCCCGTCTAATCCTCTCGTGCCTGCCCCTGTTAGGTTTAATCTCCCCTCTTCGAACCGCGTTGTGCTTACCCCGGGATGGTCCAACCCCCCCACCACCAACCCCGTTGTGTTTCCCCTCATTAGGTCGAAGCCGCCGACGACGAATGTTTTCTTAACTGTTGTTAAGCCCAACCCCTCTACCTCAAACCCAGTGGCGTCTACTTCCGATAAGTGTAAACAACCTACATCTAGCTTGTCCACACCTAATCAGACAGAACGTAGTCAAACTGCCGCAGAGCCAGGTAGTCATAGCGGATCTGACATGGGCCCCCTTAATCCAGTTTCATTAGAGGGAACAGCCCCACTTACCCTAGGTACGTCTCATGAAACTACAACTAATGTAATATCTTACATTCCAAGTGCTACCCTTGATGTAACTGGCGTACAAATGGAGAAAACTAACCCAACTACACAGAATTCCTCCACATTGCGCACTATTCTTACTCCCGCTCCTCCTAAGCAAAACATTTGTAGCCTTTCTCAAATGGGCATTTATGCTCAAACCCTATTTTCATTTAATCCGCCATTGACAAACTCAACACAGTCGGATCCAACAATAGCAAACTCGTACATGCAAACAAAATCAAGAACATCCGCATCAATTTTAGATGCTGCACTCAAGTCAGCCATACCAGAAGCAGTGACTCCCATATCTGATGTAACAGGATTGGTCAGTTGTATACCATATTCATCTGTGCCTACACTAAGTCTGATAACACAAAAGATAACTGCACCAGACTCAGTTGTAGCACAAGCAAAAACGCCGAAACCAAATGTAGTTATGCCTGGACCGGCTACACCAAGGTCAACTGATAAACAAGAACCAAATATACCAGTAACTTATATAGCGACATTTGACGCACCTATATCTGTCGCATCTAAACTTGACACCGACACAGAGGACCCTACAACTCGAGGTGTAGCAATGTTCATTCCAGTTACTGAGAATATAGTTATGCCTGGTATTGACACGTCAAACATGACAAGCCCAACCGACCCAAATGTAGCGATAACCGATTCTAATACGCTACATGCACCTCATTCTAATATGTCTGTTGATCCACATGTTGATATGCCTGGCTCTGATGCATCGAAGCCAACAGCATCCACATCAAATCCACCTTGGTTAAGTGATTGTTCACCTCATCCATCTACACCAGATGTAGTTTCAACCAGCCAGTCTTCCCCATTATCTATCATTCCAGATGTAGCTGCTCCTATCTCAGTTATTTCAAGTGAAGCTACAGGGGACATGCCAAATACCCAAGACATTATTGCATCTCAGCCAGGTACACCTTCCTCAGATATAACTTCACTGGACAAAGCTAAACCAAATGCATCTGTTTTATCAGCTAATGCGTCTGTGCCATCATGTGCACCTTCAAACCAAGAAATATTAGATCTAACAACGCCAAATGTAAGTCATGAGCTAAATACACCTGGTGTTAGTGACCCAGATGTACTGGTTAAAGTGCTTCCTGATCCTAAGTCACCTCATGAAGTTATTCATGATCCTGCAACAACTTGTGCAATTGATACAAGTCCAGATAATCATGGCTTAGCTGTCCATTCACCCGCTCCTGTTTTAGATACATCTGATTTAACTAAACCATGTTCAGCAACTTCAGTTGTAGAAGATGAAACTGGTCAAAATACATCTGTTGTTGCTACAAACGATCCAACACCACTTCCTGTAGCTCCATGTAATCCAACTACATCTCTTGTAACTAGTCTAGATCCAGCTACTATTGTCTCAGATGGATCCAACCCAAGTACTAACATCGATTTGCCTGTAGTATCTACACACATTGCAGTCACTGTTGATCATAGTGGTTGTGTAACTTCTAGTCCAGCTATGCCTCCTGTAGCTGCAGATGTAGATACACAGGTTGAAGTTACGGCTGTTTATAGTCCAGCTACACCTATTGTAGCAGCAGGTGTAAATGTTACAGCTGGTGAACCTGCAGCTGGTTCAGCTTCGCCTGTTGCAGATGTGTCGAACCCACTCACATCAACTGCACCTGACGTAGCTACACCAAATGAAACGGCAACTGCTGTTGCAGATGAACTAGTTACACCTGTTGGAGAGACAGTGGGATTAGATACACCCAATCTAGCCCCTTCTGTTGTAGATACACCAGACGTTGCTATAACTGATGTGGCTACCCCTGGTCCAAATACCGGTGATTTAAATATGGTTGACCAGACAGCACCTGTTGTAGGTGTTAGGAGTCCAGCTACTCCTCTTGCAGATACTCCTGATCCAGGTACATCTCCCGCATCAGTTTATGATGAAACACCTGCCACACCCGACCAGACACTTGATCTGACTCCAGACGGTGACAATACTGCTGAGCTCACTGCTGCTCACGTAGCTGCTCCTGATTTAACAACTGATTCAAAGACACCCACTGAAGCTACTGCTGATCCAGTAACACCTGAAGTAGCATCTGATTCCGTTACATCTACAGCAGATACACCTGATCCAACTGTATTTGCTGTGGCCTCTGAAAAATCACCTGCACCTGATGTAGCTTCAGAACCAAGTACACCTGGTGCAGTTACTCACCCAGGTACACCAGATCTAGGTACACTTGGTGTAGCGTCTGATCGAAGTACACTTGATGTAGCTACTGACTCAACTACACCTGATCACGCAAGTACAGCCGGCGTAGGTAGTAGTACAACTACACCTTCTGAAAATACGGATATGGTTGCACTTGGAGAGGGGGCCGATCCAGCTAACACTCAAGCAACACCTAGTGTACTCACCGAAGCAGGTACATCTGGTGAAACCTCAAACCCAACAATACCAGGGGCTAATATCGATCCTGCTATACCTAGCGAAGGTTGTGATCCAATAGTACCTATGGAAGGCACTGAAATGGCTATACCTGCTGAAGCTGCTGAAAGTACTGAGGTAGCTGTACCCGCTACACCTGCTGAAGGTAATGAGCCAGCTGCACCAACTGGAGGTATTAATCCAGCAACACTTGCTAAAGGTAGCGGTGTTGTTACACCTGCTGAAAGTCCTGATCCAAGTTCACCCGTTGAAAGAACCCGCCCGCTGAAGGTACTGATCCAGCTACACCAGCTGAAGCTGCTGATTATATAAATCATACCACATCTGCAGGTTTTGATCCAGTTACATCTGCTGAAGCTACAAATTCAGTTACACCTGCTGAATGCACTGAATCAGCAACACCTGCTGAATGCACTGAATCAGCAACACCTGCTGAATGCACTGATCCATCAACACCTGCTGAATGCATTGACCCAGTTACACCTACTGAATGCACTGATCCAGCAGCGCCTGCTGAATCCACTGATCCAGCAACACCTGCTGAATGCACAGAGCCAGCAACACCTGCTGAATGCATGCAACACCTGCTGAATGCACAGAGCAGCAACACTGCTGAATGCACAGAGCCGCAACACCTGCTGAATGCACAGAGCCAGCAACACCTGCTGAATGCACAGAGCCAGCAACACCTGCTGAATGCACAGAGCCAGCAACACCTGCTGAATGCACAGAGCCAGCAACACCTGCTGAATGCACAGAGCCAGCAACACCTGCTGAATGCACAGAGCCAGCAACACCTGCTGAATGCAGAGATGCTCACCAGCAAACCTGCCAGATCAGCAACACCTGCTGAATGCACAGCCATCAACACCTGCTGAATGCACAGAGCCAGCAACACCTGCTGAATGCACAGAGCC